TTCAAGTACTAGCCCTGTCATTTAACACCCGTCTGGTCTTGGACAAGTAATTTAACCTCTTTTAATCCCAAGTGCTTTATGTATAAAAAGTAAAAATACATTTTACCTCAGTGGGTAGCCATGAGAATCAATGAGAGGAGAGATGTGTATGCATGCTGTACTCTAGAAAGTATCATGTACATTTAAAGCATTATTAGTGGAAATTCCCCAGTGGTCCAGTGGTTAGGACTTGCTGCTTTCACTATAGGGGCCCAGGTTCAATCTCTGGTCAGGGAACTAAGATCCCGCAAGCCATACAACATGACCAAAATAAATAAATAAAAATAAAAGCACATTGGTGAAATTCTAATAAATAAGCTCTATTAAGCTAGTACCACTAGCTTCCCAGGTGGCACTAGTGGTAATGAACCCTCCTGCCAATGCAGGAGACTTAAGAGACATGGGTTCGGTCCCTGAATTGGGAGGAGTCCCTGGAGAAGGAAATGGCACCCACTCCAGTATTCTAGCTGGAGAATCCCATGGACAGAGGAGTGTGGTGGGCTATAGCCCATAGGGTTGCAAAGAGTCAGATGTGACCAAGTAACTTCGCACGCACACACCCATAGTATCATTCTTAAGAAAGCTTGATGAACAGAACCAACACATCATGAACATAAAGACAGCTCAAAAGATGATCAGGGCATAGATTTAGATTGTTGGAATATCTTGTTCAGGAATTCACTCCTCCTAACACTGTTTATGTAAATCAAAAAGTCCCTTCAGAGTTCTGGGTTCCTGGTTCATATACAATTTCATTTAGTTCTCATGGTGTGTTCTTCTTGCTTAAAATACCCATCAGATCTGAGAACCACCTTCCATTTCTGAATTCTGAGGTTGGCTATGGGGAAGTATGGGGGAGACACACCCATACTCAGAGGGGAAACTCCCAAATCCAAAATACACAGAAAACCACACAGAAACGCCCTCTGCAAGGCCTTTATTGGTATGGAGTCACTTACCAGAGTGAGATTCCTGGGTGGTGTTGAGCCACATTTTCTGGTATCCATCCTCCAGATGGTACCTTGGGTGCTATCCAGGATGAGGGCAGTCAGCCCAGTGTCACGTCCAGGGCAACATCATCCACCTGCACCCCTCTACCTACTCAGGCCAGCAGGCCTGTCCACAGTGGGTTTATAACACACGTCAAGGTGGTGTTCATTCTGTGTAGGCAGAGAGCTTACCCCTTGGAAGTGAGTGTCTCTTGGTGAGAATTGTGGTTAGCTTTTATTCCAGATGGCCTCGCCATCAGTCTCACTGTGGCCTTCTCCCCGTAGAGGGTGGGTTCTTGTAAGGCAGGTGCCATATCTTATTGATGTTTGTCACCCTGCCCTTAATGAATAATACAACAGTCCCTCAATAAATGTCACGTCATGGAATTGAAAACTGCCCACAACCTCTTCTGCCTTTTCCAGGTGCTATCCATGTATGCATCTGTCTTATTAAAGCATTGATTCCTTCATTCACTCATTCATCCAACACTGAGTAACTCATGTGTCAGGCACTGCACTAGAGACAAGAGCAGAAAGTCATGCACAGGAATAAATGCTCCCAGCGGAAGTCTGTACAAGGGGAAAGAGAAGCAAGGAAGCAGGCTAGCTCTATGTTACGCTCTGGGAGGTGGCAAGGCATGGGAAAGGCTTCGCAGAGGAAACGGCATTACTGTTGGACCTGGAGGACGAGCAGGAAGTCCGTGGGCAGAGAAAAGGAAGACTAGTAGCTTCCTGGATGTGCACAGCATGAACAGCGCAGGGGAGGGGAGACAGGGCATTTATCTGTCATCTTGGTGCCTGGGGCTCGTGTTTTGGAGTGGGGAAAGGGGAATGAGGCCAGAACCGGGGCTCAGGCAGTACAAGACAGGCCTGAATGCCATGCTGAGAATAGGTTCATTTGTCCTATTGGTGACAAGGATGCATCACAAATTTCCAGGCAATAACATGCCCATGATCGGTTTTCACCAAGACTGTTTACTGTACATCAATCTTTCCATTCATCTGCTCTCTGCCACAAGGCTGGGAGTACATCATAAGCAGGAATACAGTCTCACCCTCCCTGGCACTAGCACAATGGCTGACATGGGAGGAGAGGTCATTCCTATTCCAAAGGCCAGCCAGAGAGCTGACCCTCCTCCATCACCTGCTCCTTCCAGCTGGAAGGTGAGCGTGGAGAACAGTTCATGAGCAGGGACGTGGAGATAACATGGTGACTGAATTCATGGGGCGGCCAAGCTAGCCTGACTCACTTGGCAAGAAGTAACAGAATACAAGAGGAGGGGAAGGCTGAGAACCCTCACGGAGAAGGAAAATCAGCAAGAGAAATGTGTTCATATAAAATGAATCATATATGGTGAGAAACATGGAATCAGGAAGTCCCCTCTAAGCCACCAGCTGGAACTCCTGCACGAGGCCCCCTAGTGGCAGGAAGTTCCAGCCAAGGGGAACACGGACTCACATTCTGGCTCCGGGAAGTCTAGTCAACCATGAGGTAATCCCACTGAGTTCCAGCTACTCATCACTTCTGAAGTTGCCCAGCTAGGCCTGGGCCAAGGGACCCATGGGAGGGGAGTCAGAAGGCTCAGAGTCCACATAACGCTAAGGATACGAGGCAGGGTGGGGGTTACCAGCATCTTCACCCTACACGCATCCAGGAGAAACCCAGACTGTCTCCAGGTTATGGAAAATGTCCAGATTGAGCCCAGGAGCCAGACAAGAATCCCCCACCAGCAACCCCACCTAACAACCACGCTCAGCTCTCTGCTGGGCAACTTTGAACTGCACTAGCAGGCTTTGTCGGAGAAGGCAATGGCACCCCACTCCAGTACTCTTGCCTGGAAAATCCCATGGACGGAGGAGCCTGGTAGGCTGCAGTCCATGGGGTCGCAAAGAGTCGGACACGACTGAAGAGACTTAGCAGCAGCAGCAGCAGCAGCAGGCTTTGTTTTCCTACTCTAGCAGGGCCCAAAACAAGAGCTGTGTTTTCTTTTCCTCTGTTATGGGAAGGGAAATAACAGTACCAGCTACTATTACAGAGCATCTATCTAGTATCCAGCACTTAATCCTGCTTCTGTCTCATTTCTACAACTCTGACAGCTAAGTATTATCGTTTGTGCTAAAGGACCCAATCTGGACCTCCTGGAGCCAGAAAAGACACAGAAAATAAGTCAACTCTCCACAGCATTATCAGGAAGAAGTCTCAGGTGAATCCAGGCAGCCCATTTCCGGCTTGGTGTATCATCATCCTGAGGTCCAAAGGCCAGCCCAGGCCACACACTCCTTGATGGCCCTGATTTGTACTCTGTGACACCCGAGCGAGACTCTACAAGATATCTTCTGTTGGAGGAATTCAAGACAATTCGACTAAGGAGGGGAGGCTCACAGCAGGTCACCCCACAGGGCAGAGTAAGAACTGGGCTGGAATCCATGTGTGGGATGTGAGCCCATGCCCTGGTGCAGCTGGTGAGACCCTAGGCACGCCAAACCCTCTCTGGGCTGGACCCCAAGCCAGCATTTGGGCATCATCCTGGACTCTGTGTTCCCCCTCATTTCCCACATCTAACTAGGTACCTAATCAATCTTCAGAGCAACCGTAAAAGATCTTGAATCCATCCCTCCTCAAATTAATTTGGCACTTGCCACATCTCACCCAGATTACTGTCCCCATTCCATCTATGCTCCCATTCAGAGGGATCTTTCTGAAATACACATCTTCTCTCTTCACCTCCCTGCTCACCTGGTCCTGTATCTCTAACAGTAAAGTTCAAATTCCTTGGCTTACCTCCCATACCCTGAGTCTGCCTCCTGCTCTCCCCCAGGTTCTCCATTCAGCACATTCAACCTTTGCCTGAACTACCCTGAATGCTATTTCAGGACCATGTATCTGCTGACCTCTCTTCCTTAGAAGGCCCTTCCCCTCTGATGATGCCTGATAATCCCTCAAAATTCAACTCAAATAGCACCTCTTCCAAGAAGTCCTCTTAGACACCAGAGTCTGACTTAGATGCTTTCTTATTTAGACACCAGGCTCCCATGTACTTCCCCCTATCACAGCACTTAGAGTTATTGATCTCTCTTTTCTGATTCCTGTACAAGTTCCTGGAAAAGAGGAACTACGCTCAGAGAAGTCCTGAGTTGCTTTTGTACCTGTAGCAACACCCAGGCACTCAGCACAACGGTTGAGACACTACAGGAATTTCTGCGCAGCAAAATGAGTGGGTCTCCTCCGCGGTAAGTGGGTCCCCCTGCTCACAGGGTGGAGGGTCTTCATGCTTCACCTGTCTGTAAAGGCTCAACAGTCTATGAACCTGAGCTCAGCCACTATGGGAACCAGTCCTTCGACTCTGACTGCACTCTCGCTTTGTGAAGTTCTATGTGGTCACCATGGACGTTCTCAGCCCTAAACGCCAGTGACCACCAATGATCAGTGGCCCCTGGAACCAGTTTCATGGCTACAGGAAGGGGTGGGGTGGGGGAATGCAGCCCGTGGTCACTGGGCTCTAAGATTTCCAACCTCTGGTCAAGGGATGCTGGTTGCTGTACTGGGTCCAGAGCGCCAGGCAACCTCAGCACTACTCACCTGAAGGCATCTAGCTCTGTGGCTCGGGAATGAGCTCTTGGTTACTGAAAAGTTCAGTCTTGTGAAATGGGTTTGGTTTCACATTTCCTGTCCTTGGCTCACTTATTTAAAAATTACACCCCAAGTGCCCCCTGAAAGAGATAAGGTGCCTTTAGTCTGATTCAGAAGCTTCTTGCCATCAGCCCCTACATGAATGAAACCTGATCTGTGGAATGAAACTCAGAGGACAGGGACACTCCTGGGCCATCATTTCTTTCCAGGAGCTCAAAGTCTTCAACGGTAAGATGAGGGAGGAAGGTCAAGTGAGTGCTGACCCCTCCTGGCAATGACATTTGGAGAGACTGGGTCCATTCTTTCTGAACTGACTCTTTTCCCCTCCCCCTGTCACTGACCTTGAGATCAAAGTGAGCGATTTTCTTGGCATGAAGGTAGTTCACCCCTTCCAGGATCTGTTTAATGAAGCTGGTGGCCTCCTCCTCACTCAGGGATTCCTTCTGGGCCAGGAAGTCGAAGAGCTCTCCTCCGGACACTCTGCAAGACACCGGTAGGGAGGGCCCAGGCCCAGTCAGTCCCATGTGCCAGAAGCCCAAGCCCCTGCCCCAGGCACTCTGCAGGGCAGAACCCCCTCACCCACCTCTCGGGCTCAGTCCAGCCAGCACAGAGACTGACTTTGCTACTACTTCTATCTGCTGTGTTCCCTTTGGATCACAAGAGGTGGAACCCTCAGGTGACAGCAAAAGGGCCTCTGCTAACACTCGAGGCTCAGGTCCCTGGTTACCCTGGGTGGTCCCCTCCCGCTATATGACTGAGGTGACCGAGGACAGAAACAAGTGCTATGTGGGATGACAAAGAGGAACATATGCTGGGCCAGAAAATGGAGACTTAGTTTCCAGTCCAGCCCTGCTACTGACTTTGGACAACTCCCTGCCCCACCTACTCTAGGCAGGCCTCAGTTTCCTTACCTGCAAAATGGGCAGACTGACCATCATTGTTCCCAAAGCCCCTTTCTGTGACTTTATAGAAGGCATGACCTCTTCAAAGGCATATCCCTACCTTAACCATCGAGATCCATCCTTTATATTCATCTTTCAAAACTCTAAAATACTACTTTTGTCCTCACACTCCACTTTCCAGTATGTTATCATTGATGTGGCAGGAAGAGAGACCAACAGAGCAAAAAGAATCTCCCTTGTAAAGACTAGTTTACAGTTTTACCTGAATTCAGGATTTAGGGTTGCCAGACAAAATGGGAAGATTTTTATTTGCTAAATCTGGCAGTCCTAGTGGGCTTGTTTGGTCTCTGACGCATGCTGAAGTATCTAGCCGGCACACCTCAGGAACTGGGACATAGTCAATGCTCACCCAAGGAAAAGATCTCAGGAAGGGATCAGGGCCAGGGGATCCAGGAACTCAGGATCACCTGGAAAACTTGTTTAACATGCACATTTTCAGGTCCTACCACAGACCCTACCAAATTAGATTCTCCAGCAGCAAGCCCTCAGAACCTGTATTTTTGTAATAATAGCAACATAATAATGGTAATTGATAGTCATTGAATACTTGGAGCATTATGTATACTTTTTGCACATTATCTCACTTAATCATCACAACACCCTATGGGCTAAAGGATTATTATTTTGCTATCTCACAGTTGAAGAGACAGGCTCAGAGAGGTTAAGTCACTTGTCCAAGGTCAAACAGTCAGTAAGTGGTAGAATCAAGATTCAAACCCAAGCAGAATGACTCTCAACCACTATACCTTAAGAGACCTCAGATGATTTTTTAATGGCTTCTGTCCATTTTGGGAATCATTCACGGCCTGTCACCTAGTCCATCCTAATTAAAGAGCCTCAAAATCTTTTTTCCTTTCTTTAAAAATATTTTGTACATGGATCCACTCATCAATCTTAGCATCATGAGAAACAGAACAACTGGACATGCCATGATACAACAGGGAATACACAGCAACACCTACAAAGTAATACAACTTGAAAAATTGAAACTAAATCTTAGCTTAAGCATCTTGTTATAAAATCACTGCTGTTGAGATAAAGAAAACTCAAAGTCACCCCAAGCCCTGGGCTGTCCCCTGACATCCTGGTCCAGCTACATGCCCTCTTACCCTGGGCTGCCAGTGTCTGGCTGGCTCTCTCTCCGACTACATTACCTTTAGCTCTCACAGCACTGTGTGCAAGAAAGACATTCAAGAGAAGGTGGATGAATAAAAGAACAAAGGAAAGAAGACATTTAAAATAGCAACACAGCAAGACTTCACTGGCAGTCCAGTGGTTAAGACTCTGCGTTGCCAATGCAGGGGCATGGGTTCCATTCCCACTAGCTTCAAGGTGTGGCCAAAATATAAAATAAAATAAAACTTAAAAATAAAAGAAAACATTAACATGGCACAGAATATTCTATATCATAGAGAAGTGAAACCTTGGCATTTGCAAGCGACCTGTTGGAGTCCTTTGCAAATTTTCCAATCCACAGTGTCCCTTGGGAACACACAGGACCCAGCCCAACCTTTGTTCTCATACTTGCAGCCTTGCTGGGCTGTGGGAGGCTGTGACCTCGGGCATATACGGCCCTTCCTGCCTTAAACTGAATGCTGCATAAAGGTAAAAGAATATCATGATAATGGAGATGTGTCCTGTCACCCAAATTTACTGATGTAAGGCCCCGGCTGGGTGAGGACTTGGGGTGGGGGGGTCAGTAATCAGCTGCTCTACCTGAAAGTGTGATCCGGGCAAGAGACCCAGACAGACATGGTCTCCTTTGGATGAAGACAGGAACAGCTATGGCGGCCCTTAGAATTGCCCGCAGAGACCTGGAAAGTGGGAGGCTGATGAGCCTGCTGGGGTGACGGTCCCAGCCCTGACACCCAGGCTGGGAACACTTGCATCAGTTCTCAGGCATGTCTTCTCAAGGGTATCAAGAAGCCTGGGTTTTGTTTCAACCCAACTGCTACCCTCACAATGTAGTTTCTCCTCAGAGTTTCTCAGCTCCAAGGCCTCTGCCCTGGAGTCACCCCCTCCACCCAAGCTTCTCTCCTCTCACATCCCTAAACAATTTAACTTAGAGAGGAAAAGAAAAACTTAACAGCCTGGCCTCTGCTCTGCTCCCAGTCCCCAGGACTCAATGCACCCACTGAGGTATCACTTTCCACCAGCCTGGAGTCAAGGGGGCCCCAGAGGGGTCAGGAGCCTGGGACGGGAGGGCTACCCAAACCTTCCAGAGCAGGCCTACATTTTTCAAAGCCAGCTCCACATGTGACATGAGTTAATTTCTTAAGAGTTTGAAAATATTCTTTACACCCTACAGAAGTCAACTTATGTGCTGTACTGTGCTAAGTCACTCAGTTGTGTCCAACTCTTTGTGACCCCATGGGCTGTAGCCTGCAAGGCTCCTCTGTCCATGGGATTCTCCAGCCAAGAATACTGAAGTGGGTTGCCATGCCCTCCTTCAGGGGAAGCTAATTTATATGGATAGCTAAATCCTTCCCACCCCTGCTTTCATCAGTCCTATGAGAGGTGGCTGCAGCACTAGCCATCATGGACGGGGTAATAACAGCTGAAGGGGACTTACATCAGGGCTGGGATGCCCTCTGAGCACTGGCCATTTCAGCAGGAAGCAGGAGGAAGCCCTGCACCAGACAACAGTGCTGAGAGGTAACTCTATCCACAAAATCTGCAAACATCAACAGATGGGCTCTGACACCTGTGTTTAAGTATCAGGCAAACCCATGAACCTAGTAGGGCACAGTGAGGACCAGAAGGGTGAAGGCTCCTGAGCAGCTCAACAGTGATCACCAAGGTCACACACAGAAGCACACAGAAAGGGACTTCCCTGGTGGTCCAGTGTTAAAGAACCCGCCTTGCAATGCAGGGGACACAGGTTCGATCCCTGGTCAGGGAACTATGATTCCACATGCAGTGGAGCAACTAAAGCCTGTGAGCCACATCCAGAGAGTCCATGCACCACAATGAGCGATCCCGCGTGCCACAATGAAGATCCCAAGTGCTGAAACAAAGACCTGATGCAGCCAAATAAATAAATAAATAAATAAATAAATAAATTTTTAAAGCCCATGAAAAGCCCTTCTCTCCTGGAAGGTCCTTTCCTCAGACCCTGCTCACACAAGGCTGAGACACTGTCTTAGCAATCCCTAGCACCACAGATTGGCACCCTGAGACAGTGAGACAGCTTGAGAGTTAAGGAGGAGATAGAGAAACTATGAACAGACAGAACTTCACAAACAGAGCAGCTCAAGCAGACCACAGGAGTACTAGTATGACAAGGGATGTTATAGGTGGTGATGGCTCACAAGAAGAAGGCACGTGATTGCTTGCTAACCATGGTTGGAGAAATGACCATGACCTGCTTGGAGAAACAGCGACAACTCAAGAACATCCTAGATCCCAACTCCTAGGGTTCTACAAACAGACAGTAACAGACAACTTCTCCAGCAATGACAGAAATGCCAATTAAAATGACCAAAACAACAAACAAACCCCAAACATCATTTAGTAACTATAAAGGACTTGGGGATTCCCTAGCTGTCCAGTGGTTGGATGCCACACTTCCACCATAGGGGGCATGGGTTGCATCCCTGGTCTGGGAACCAAGATCCAATATGAAGTACAGCATGGCTCCCTCACCCCAAAAAATATATATACACACAATATATATATATGTACACACAAATATATATGTATATATTCAATATATATATAGAGAGAAAGACAATAAATAATGGACCCTGCTTTAAAACAAATGCCCCAGGGTTGGCAAGGCTGCCTCGAGATGGAATATTCCCATGTTGCAGGTGGTACTGGTTAACCAAGACTGTCCTTGGTGAGGACACCAAGAGACTAAAAATGTCAGCTTGGTCACTCTATTCCTGAGAATTTATCTAAAAAAAATTAATTCAGAAGAAAATGGGAAAATATGGGAAGAAAGTTGCTTTATGGCAATAAAATCTATAATGGTTAGAAACTGAAAAATCAAATGTCCTACAACAAGGAGCTATATGTATATAATTCAATGAAACATGATATAGTCAGTGAAAAGGAAAAAAGCTTTTCATGACATTATGTGAACTTAGTGGGGGAGGGGGAGTAGAGCAGGAAACTGTAAAAGGACAAAGATTGCACACAAATAGATAAAGACTGAGAGGAACCAAAGGGAAACATAAATGGCTGTGTTTGGGTGGTTGGCTTCTGAATATAATTTCTTTTTTAGTTGCTATAAGGTTTTTTGGGCAATAGACTTAAAGAAATGGCCTGGCTTTCCCAGCAAAGGTGGGCTTGTCACTCTCTGCTGGGAACCAGCATGCCATCTGCTGACCCTTAGCCTTGGGACACGTCACACCTCGGGCCATCCACATGGCAGGTGTACAATTGAAGGAGGAAACAGACAGAGCTGGACTCCATCTTAGGCTAGGCTGCGAACATTAGGCTACACACGTGGTCACTCTCCCAATGGACTCTGAACTTTGTGCCCGGTGTCTATAGAAGTGGCATACCAATGGGAATCCAGACCCCTGGATAAAAGAGCCTCAGGACTTGGACTTGGACTCTCTGTTGCCTAAAAGAATATGCTAGTTATGTCTGTAACAGAACAAAGTCGTAAATTCCATTATGTTTATCAGGATATGACCACAGTCCTATTGATAAATGTTCACTGTTTATCTAGTCTCGTGACACATGAATCATGGGTTAACTTTGATTGTATCTCTCTTTTACCTTGTCAAGACTAGTTTCAAGGAAGTTGGGGAGGTGGGTTTGAGCAAGTACACTTAGGGTATATAAGGTTTTCACAAAAACTGGTCTGGGTCCTTGACTAAGAGGAGACTCTGCCTTGGGCCTGCCAGTGTAATAAACTGCACTCCACTATCTGCACTGTCCTTCTGAGTGAGTTAGTTTCCCGGAACATGTGGCTACAACACAATGACTAGTCCAACTGGCTGAGAGGTCCCTGGGAGAAACATGGAGGACTTTGGAAGTTAGAGGAGGGCAAAGCATGGGTGATTCTATGCACTGGAATGTTGAGTTGGATAATTTAAGAATCCAATGCAAGAGTATGCAAATGCCTATCTGCTACATAAATCTATAACCTGGCAATACCAGAGTATGTTCTCAAATTAGAATGGTCTCCAAAGTCAGGTGGCCCACCCAACCTGCAGGTGGGTTAAGGATGGCTGCCAGCTTTACAGATGAGAGCTGAAGCTCAGAGGGGTGAGGTGACTTGCCCCAGGTCACAAAGTCAGGGGCTGCTGAGACAAATACCACTACTCCTCTGCTCACTGGCAGATGCCTCACGCCTATGAGGCTCAGAACACTCCCGACACGGGGTCTTGCTGCTTGACTGGACACAGCCATCGCCACTTGTGCCACTGTCCAGCTCAAACTCTATGGTCCTCCAGAGCCCCACATCCCCAGTCCATGGAATTGTCTCCAGGAGGGACATTAGGTGCCCGACCAAACCCTGGAGTCTTGGTATATCACCCATCCAAATTCTTCCAGACTTGGAATGAAGATTTCCCCAGCAGGCCCAGCCCAAGGCCATCCCACCTCACACACACAAGCAGTGTGGCCCCAGCCCTGGTGCCACTACTTCCTGGCTGTAGGATCTAATAAGTGACCTGGACTTCAGTGTTCTTGTCTGTAGCATGGAGATAATGAGTCTCTGTGTGATAGGATTGTTATGAGGATTAAATGAGATAAGAGACAGTCTCGGCAAAGTGAATACAAAGTCCTCTCGTGGTAAGTAGAACACTTCCCTCAACACAGCTTCTTTGAAAATTGAACAAGATAACTAGCACAAAGGACCTCGGCTTACAGCAGAGCTCTCTAAATAATTGTTGCTACAATAACCAGTATTCTTGCCTGGAGAATCCCATGGACAGAGGAGCCTGGCGGGCTACAGTTCATGGGGTTGCAAAGAGTCAGACACAACTGAGTGACTAAGCACGCATGCACAATAATAATAAAGGCATCAGACACAGTACATAGGCCCCGGGGTTTTCCGGAAAAGGGCTGGGGAAGAGCTTCACAGAGCTGGGAGGGTGCTTGTTCTTCTCTTCTTTGAAAAACAGACTCTCTTTAATGGCCCTCCTCCTCCCCCTGTCCACCCTCTAACGTGCTCACCAGCCAGGAAAGGACCCAGCGCTGGCCACTTCTTCCCTTTCATCCCCAGGGTCCAATGAAAGCCAGACCTAGACCCTGGCCATCAGTCTCTGCTGCCTGGGTTCTGGAGGAGGAGCGGGTAACTGAAGGTAACAGTGTCCTACTGACTTCATCTCCTCCGGTGGAGCCTCTGGCCGGCTGGTTCCTGCTCCCTCTGGGGCCTGTGGCTGGAGGCCTCCCTCCCCACGCCTGCTGCCCGCAGGGTCCCAGGCTCCCACTCACAGCTCGAGGATGAGCACCACGTCGGTGCGGTTCTCGAAGACGTCGTGCAGCGTGATGACGTTGGGGTGCAGCACCTGCCGCAGGATGCTCACCTCCCGCTGGATCTCCTCCAGGCACACGCCCCGCCGGCTGGCCCGGCTCTGCCGCTTCTTGATGAACTTGGCCGCGTACTCCAGCCCCGTGCTCTTCTCCCGGCACTTCTTCACGATGGCGAATTGGCCACTGCGGGGACACAGACACACACAATGAGGACATCACTGCAGTCCCGAGAGAAGTGACCTGGCCGCCACCCCCCGGCCACAGCAACTCCTTCTTCCAGGGCAGGACAAGTCACGTCATCAGCCAGGATCCCCACCTGGCCATCATCCGGAGACGGAGACAGAGCAAGTTCTGGGCTCCCCTTCTGTTCCTATGAATCCTTGACCTTGTACTAGGAAGGAATGGTAGTGTTGTCATTCCCAGTGTACAGATGGGAACACTGAGGCCCTGAAAGGCTACTGGTATGATCCAGATGACACAGCTTCAGCTAGAACCTCTGTCTTGTATTCACCAGATGAAACCACAAGGTCCAGAGGCTTATACTACTTAATGGAAAGATTTTAAAGGAAAAGCAGGACTTCCCTGGTGGTCCAGTGGTTAAGACTCTGAACTTCCACTACAGGGGGTACAGATTTGATCCCTAGTCAAGGAACTAAGATCCTACAAGCCGCAAGGTATGGAATGAATGAATGAATGAATAGTAAAAATGGTCAGCACGGTCCAATTACTAATAGTAACAATCATCTGTTTGGGCCTCCCTTATCTGGAAGCAAGTACAAACTCATCTATTTAGAATTGTAAGGAGACAAACCACCTCTCTAGTCTCATGTTCACACCTTGGTTTCCAACCCTTTCCAATAAATAAAATCTCAATTACCTGACACAAGCCAGGTAGTGGCTTGGACAATAAGAAGACAGAGCAAACATCAGGCTAAAGCACTTAAAGATAAGGCCAGAGGCTATGCCAGCGGGGCTAAGGGGATCCAGGTGGAAGTGGGGATGGGGAAGGTAGGGCAGCCTAACATTGTTAGGAACGTCGGTGGGTGTTTCTCATGATTAGAAGACAGATAGTCCATGGAATTTTCCAGGCCAGAATACTGGAGTGGGTAGCTGGTCTCTTCTACAGGGTATCTTATCAACCCAGGGATCAAATCCAGGTTTCCTGCACTGCAGGCGGATTCTTTACCAGCTGAGCCACCAGGCAGGCCCAAGAATACTGGAGTGGGTAGCCTATTCCTTCTCCAGTGGATCTTCCCAACCCAGGAATCGAACCAGGGTCTCCTGCATTGCAGGTGGATTCTTTACCAGCTGAATTACCAGGGAAGCCCAGATAGCACCAGAGAATTGTAAAATATTAGGAAACTGAGGCACAGGAGACATCAAGTGACTCACCCAAGGTCATCACAGAGTTAATGGCAAAGCCAGGCCAAAGAGCTGAGGACCCTGCCCAGTGTTCACAAACTGCTAAGACAGTTGAAGGAGTCAAGACTATGTTTAGTGCCCTTCAGGGCTGAGCCTGAATCCTTCACTACAGGGACCTAGACAGCATCCATGAAATGGTGCAAACTTGGAAAAACTCAGCAGTGGCCACAGGACTGGAGAAGGTCTGTTTTCATTCTGATCTCAAAGAAAGGAAACACCAAAGAATGTTCAAACTACCATACAGTTGTGCTCATTTCACATGCTAGCAAGGTAATGCTCAAAATCCTTCAAGCTAGGCTTTAGCAGTATGTGAACCAAGAACTTCCAGATGTACAAGCTGGATTTAGAAAAGGCAGAGGAACCAGAGATTAAATTGTCAGTATCTGCTGGATCATAGAAAAACCAAGAGAATTCCAGAAAAACATCTACTTCTGCTTCATTGACTACACCTAAGCCTTTGACTACGTGGATCACAACAAACTGGAAAATTCTTAAAGAGATGGGAATACTAGACCACCTGTATGCAGAAACCTGCCAAAGTGGCAGATAGCCCCAGGCCAGCCTCTCTGAGTGCTCTAAAGGCAGCCCCCTCCACACACACACACACACACACACACACACACAGAGGGAAGGGCAGCGGCCTTCACCATCACTGCGGGTGATGTTAAGGCAATCACTGGGGGCCACTCTCAGTCTTTGGAGACTACCCAATGGCCACCCTCCTGGGATCCTCCCACTCCCCTTCCACCAGTGTCCCAGGTTTTCCTGACACCCACACTACCTACTGCCTGAGACAGAAACCATAACCACCGCATTGGATTTACTCTCTCGGGGGCGCTGGGGTAGAAGTTACACACAAGGAAGTGCTCTGGGTACAGTAAGTCCCCTCGTGAGAACGAGTTCCATTTCAAAAGCGTGTTCGTAAACCCATGTTGTCTCTAAGTCCAACAAAGGTAGCCTAGGTATCTGACTGACACAATCAGCTATATAGCACTGTACTGTAATAGGTTTATAACACTTTTCACATAAATAATACATAAAAAACATAGCAAATAAAGAAAACATTTTCAGTCTTACAGTGTAGCACCTAGAAAAGTACAGCAGTGCAGGACAACAGCTGGTATACAGGAGCGGGCATCGAGTGAACAAGCAAGAAGAGCTCCTGACTGGAGGAGAGAGCGGAGGTGGGAGACGGTAGAGCTGAAGCACCGTCAGCAATAGGAGGTGGAGGGCAAACTGCAGTTTCACTCACACCTGACACTGACGGGACGCACGTTTGCATCTTTGAAAGTTTGCAACTGGAAGGTTCGTATGTAGGGGACTTACTGTGTTTGCCTCAGCCTCAGAAACTAGTAGCACATCTGAATCAGTCCATTACTAGAATAATCCTCAGTGAGACAGCCTTCAAAATAAACCCAAGTGATCAAAAAAACAGACGCTCAAGTAGAGCAAGTGAGGAATAAGAGATGCCAACACTTAAATAGCATTCTGTGGCAACCATCCTAGAGATGTCACCACACACCTGTTCACACATCCCTCCATTCCCTCATCCCCCAGAGCTTCTGAGCATGTACTCTGTGCCAGGCTCTGCCTGCACAGCAAGGGGCAGGAACCAAAGACTCAGACACCAGGTACAGATGCAACTCTGGGGAGGGAGAGGGCCCCGGTGGCTGGGCTGGGAAGGCTTTGTGGAGCCATGTATATATCACACTGTCTGCTAACTCTAAAATTTCAGCTATTTATGCCCCATATACCAATTCTGCGCTGTCTACACAGGAGGGCCTGATGCAGGTGGGGTTAAATCAGGCCTCCCAAAGTCAGAGGGAACACGTGCAGCAAGATCTCTGGTCCCTGAGAGCAACTCTGGGCCTTGGGACATCAGGTCCCTTAGCGGGTGCCAGCAAACACTGAACAAAGCCTCGAGTCCCAGGCAGCTGTGCGTCTCCGAGTCAGGACGGCCACACTCCTCTCCTCCCTGACACCTCAAGGAGTCTGGCATCAGCAGCCCTGAGGGATGGGAAAGCCAAAGTGTAAGGATTTTAAACTATTTGTTTAAGCTTGTGGAGCACAGAGGTGGAGGCAGAGGATTTTTATAAAGCAGAGCTAAATATTTCAGATCACCTTGACAAAAAAGCTTTCCCTTCTCCTTAGGGCGAAAGGGAGGCATTTTTCTGTATCACATGCCTGAAAAATTCCTCTAACTCTCAAAAAGCAAATGAGTGTTTGCTTTTGAGTGTTCTCTCTGTGAGAGCAGCTGAGGCAACGAGAGGTGACTGGGGGTCAGGCCTAAAAGGAGCAGGCATCCTCCTCTCGCCAAAAGGAGGTATTTTGAGAGCAGATGACTAACACAGAGCCAAATACCAGCCAATGTCACTCACCTTGCCTCTCTTTGCAAGTCAAGGGTCCTCCACTCGGCCTGCCCTGGGGAGCCTCAAAGGGAGCCACGGCCACTCGCTGGTCTCCTCTCTCCTTGGGCAGGTGCTGGAATGTGTGGAGTATGTGTTCCACTAGGCCAGCCCTGGGCGGGAGGAGCAGGCTTCCAGGTCAGACAGGCCTGGTCTCAGGAGACATACACTGTCACCTGGGGCCAGTGGCCACCTTTTTTGTGCATCAGTTTCCTCATCTGTAAAATGGGAACTGTGATTCTCTGCCAAGGAACTGTGAGGACTGACGGTCCAGTGGCTTAGACTCCACGCTCCCAATGCAGGAGGCTCAGGTTCGATCCTTGGTCAGGGAACTAGATTCCACAGGCCACAACTAAAAGACCCCACATGCAGCCACTAAGACCCAGCACAGTCAAGTAAATAAATAAATATTTTTTAAAATTAAAAAAAAACCATCATGTTGGCCTGCAGGCAAATCTAATAAACGGTGACTAGTATTACTGCTATTAGTTTGTTGCTCATGTGAAGGCAGAAGTAAGTCGCTGATTTACATGGACTTCAATGTGTGGCCAGGGCATCAGTGCAATTTTAACACATGTCCCCACCCCACCCTACACTCTGATGATCCCAGTGCACAGTCAATTTGGGGTTTATCTTCATTTGAAACAATTCACCAACTCTATTCATCCTTAGAGCAGTGGTTCTCAACCCTGGTGGCACACCAGAATCACTGGGGAAATCTTAAAGTTACTGCTGCCTGGAATCCCACCTCCAGAGCTTCTGATTTCCTCGGACTGGGAATCAAGATATTTTTTAAAAACTTTCTGGGACTTTCCTGGTGGCCCAGTGGATAAGAATCGACCTTCCAAATCAGGGGACACAGGTTTGATTCCTGGTCCAGGAAGATTCCACATGCAGCAGAACAACTAAGCCCATGCGTCACAATTATTTAGCCTACACTCTAGAGCCTTCGAGTTGTAACTACTGAAACCCACGCACTTAGAGTCTGTGCTCCGCAACAGGAGACACCACCACAATAAAAAGCCAAAACACTGCAATGAAGAGCAGCCCTCTACTTGCCACAACTAGAGAAAGCCTGCACAAAGCAACAAAGACCCAGTGCAGCCGAACATAAATAACTTTCTGGGTGACCCCGATGTGTAACCAGGGCTGAGAAACACCAGCTTACAACAGTCCTCTGATTATCTCCATTTCTCCGTATGAAAAAAAGTACACCACTGTAACTCATATTATTCCTTGTCCTTCTCAGTATTGATATATGACCCTCTCCCTTAGATCTTTGATCTGACCATGAGAAGGAGGGAGAGAGGAGAGACAAGGGAGATGGGGAGTGTTGTCTCTTTCATCAGGAC